GTCTGTGTCTGGCATACTTCACTTAACATGATGTTCTCCAGTGCTATTCATTCTGCTGCAAGTGCAGGATTTCATTCTCTCTGTGCCTGAGTAATACTCCATTGTGTATATATACTACATTTTATCTGTCCATTCATCTGATGATGGAACCTTGGCTGATTCAGTATATTGGCTATTGTGAATAATGCTACAACAAACATAGTAGAGGAAGTATCTCTTTGATATAATGATTTCATGTCTTTTAGACATATACCTAGCAGTGGAACTGCTGGATCATATTATAGATCTAGTTCTGGTTTTTAAGGAATCTTCATATTGTTTTCCATAGTGGCTGTACTAATTTAAGTTCCCACCAAACATGTTTAAGAGTTCCCCTTTCTCCACATACTTGCCAGCATTGAGTATTCTTTTTTTCTTTGCATATTTTAAAATGAATGTCAAATTGGTATCATTTCAAAAGGTTTTTGTAAGCTAGTTAAAAACCACAAGGTAAAAATCTATAATAGACTTACCAAAAAGAAGCAAGGAGTCAAAACTTATTAACCACAAAGAAGACTGTTTGAGAGGGAAAAATAAAAAATAAAACTAGAAAACAAGTATCAAAATGGTAGCAGTGAGACTTGACTTGTCAATAATTACCTCAAATTTATATGGATTAAAATCTTCAATTAAAAGACATAATAGGGTGACTGAATGAATAAAGAAAAAAACAAGACAACTATATACTGCTTAAAAGATACATCACCTCTTTGGACATGCACAGACTGAGAGTGAAAAGATGAAATGAGATATTGCAAATAGTATGCAAAAGAAAACAACAGAAGGAATAATTATAATCTCATAATTTAGAATTTAATAAAAGTAGACAAGGACAGTCATTATATTATGATAAAGAGTTCAACCCAGCTAAGAGGAAATAACAGCTCTATTTATATACCCATAATCAGAACAAACACATAAAGCAAATATTAATAGATCCAAAAGGAAAAAGACTCCCAATACAATAGTTGAATGGGATATTAACATTCCACTTTCAGAAATGGACACGGGGCTGGCACTGTGGCATAGCAGGTAAAGCATCCCATATGGGCACTGGTTCAAGTCCCAGCTGCTCCACTTCTGATCCAGCTCTCTGCTATGGCCTGGGAAAGCAGTAGAAGATGGCCCAAGTCCTTGGGCCCCTGCCCACTCGTGGGAGACCCAGAAGAAGCTGCTGGCTTCAGATTGATGCAGCTCCAGCAGTTGCGGCCAATTGGGGAGTGAGCTAGTGGATGGAGGACCTGTCTCTCTCTGCTTCTTCTCTCTCTTTTTAACTTTGACTTTCAAGTAAATAAATAAATCTTTAAAAAAAATCATGGAGAAATGGAGTTAGGGTCTGTGTGTGGCAAATGGGGTTAAGCTGGTACCTATGACACCACCATCTCATGTGAATAATAGTTTTGAGTCCTGGCTGCTCCAGTTCCTATCCAGCTCCCTGTTGATGTGCCTGGGAAAGCAGTGGAAGATGGCCCAGGTACTTGGGCCCCCTGCCATCCATGTAGGAGACCTGGATGGAGTTCCAGGCTCCTTGATTCAGCTTGGCCCAGCCCTGGCCAGTTAACCAGTAGATGGAAGATCTCTTTCTTTGTTTCTCTGTCTCTGTAACTCTGCCTTTCAAGTAAATAAATATATCTCAACTTATTGCTACCTCAATGAACTAGAAAGAAAAGTCAAAGTCAAAACTGGTGGAAGAAAACATCCAGTAGAAATAAAGGAAATAAGGACTTTAAAAATACCCTCAAAATGATGAGCTGATTCTTTGAAAAAATAAAGAGAACAAACTATCTCAACTAACAAAAAAAGGAGGGAAAAATCACGTAAGTAAAAATGAAAAGAGACACTAACGCTGACACCAAAGACATGCAATGGATTATTCTATATCATTAGAGACAATTGTACAGGAACACAATTTATAACCTAGAGGAAATGGACAAATTCCTGAAAACATACACCTCACCAAGACTGAATTATAAAGATAAAAAAAAAAAAGGAGGACCCACTAAATAAAGAAAAACAAAGCGATTTTTAAAACTACATTATAGTCAAAAAACTCAATGCTCCATTAAATAAAGAGTTTAACTGGCCAGTGCCGCGGCTCAGTAGGCTAATCCTCTGCCTTGCAGCGCCGGCACACCGGGTTCTAGTCCCGGTCGGGGCGCCGGATTCTGTCCCGGTTGCCCCTCTTCCAGGCCAGCTCTCTGCTGTGGCCAGGGAGTGCAGTGGAGGATGGCCTAAGTACTTGGGCCCTGCACCCCATGGGAGACCAGGAGAAGCACCTGGCTCCTGCCATCGGATCAGCACGGTGCGCCGGCCGCAGCACGCCGGCCGCGGCGGCCATTGGAGGGTGAACCAACGGGCAAAGGAAGACCTTTCTCTCTGTTTCTCTCTCTCACTATCCACTCTGCCTGTCAAAAAAAATAAAAAATAAAAAATAAATTAAAAAAAAAAGAGTTCAACTAATATAAAGAATAGTTCAGCAGAAATATAGGCAAGGGCTATAAACAATAATCAAATGAAAAGATGTCAATTTCATTGATGTGCGGTAAATTTTAAAATAATCACAGATCTCAAAAATAAAATGTAAGCACCCTATGATAAACAATCATGAAATAATAATACAAAATACCTAATATGGGGCTAGTGCTGTGGCGTAGTGGATAAAGCTGCTGCCTGCAGTGCCAGCATCCCAAATGGATGCTGGTTCAAGTCCCAGCTACTTCACTTCCAATCCAGCTCTCTTCTATGGTCTGGGAAAGCAATGAAGACAGCCCAAAACCTCCTGCACCCACATGGGAGACCTAGAAGCTCCAGGCTCCTGGCTTCAGATTGGCTCAGCTCCAGCTGTGGCGGCCATTTGGGGAGTGAACCAGCAGATGGAAGAAATCTGTCTCTCTGCCTCTGCCCCTTTGTAACTTTGCCGTTCAAATAAATAAATAAATCTGTAAAACAAAATACCTAATACTAAATATGATGGAGCCAGAGAATTCAATAAATATTTGTTGGTTTATCACTCAAATAATTGTAAACTGTATTGTTGTAACAGTAAATATAAGTAGTCTTCAGGAAGAATGGAAAAAAGCAACAAAGCAAAACCAAGGAACAAACAGTTTGATTGTTGAATCCAGACATTTAAAGAATTATAAAAATTTCTTTTAAAACTTAATCCAGGCCGGCGCCGCGGCTCAATAGGCTAATCCTCCACCTGCAGCGCCGGCACACCAGGTTCTAGCCCCAGTTGGGGCGCCGGATTCTGTCCCGGTTGCTCCTCTTCCAGTCCAGCTCTCTGCTGTGACCTGTGAGTGTAGTGGAGGATGGCCCAAGTGCTTGGGCTCTGCACCCGCAGAGGAGACCAGGAGAAACACCTGGCTCCTGATCAGTGCGGTGTACCGGCCGCAGCAGCCATTGGGGGGGTGAACCAGCAGAAAAAGGAAGACCTTTCTCTCTGTCTCTCTCTCTCACTGTCCACTCTGCCTGTCAAAAACAAAACAAAACAAAACAAACAAAAAACCAACTGAATCCAAAATATAGAATAGGGAATTCTTCCAGATCTGTTCTATGAGGCCAGCATTATCTGGATACCAAAACCAAACAAGAATGCAACAAAAAAAAAGTAAGTTACAGACCATCATCCTTGATGTACAGAGATAAAAAAATTCCTCAGGAAAATACCAGCAAACGAAATCCACCAGCAGATTTAAAAGATGGTTCACCATTATTAACTGAAATTTATCTCAGGGGTGCAAAGATGGTTTAATATATGCAAATCAATAATATACTATATCAACAGAATGAAGAATAAAAAATAATCACCTCAATAGATGAAAAAGGAATTTGATAAAATCCAACATTCCTTCATAATAAAACCTCTGAATAAATTTCAGTATAAAGGGAATGTGCCTCAACATAATAAAGACCACATATAACAAGAAAATAGCTAAGGTAACACTGAATAGGGAAAAACTGAAGGCTTTCTAAGACTTGGAACAAGACAAAAATCTCAATTTTCACTACTTTTATTTAATACCATGTTGGAAGCCCTTCCAGAGCAATTAGACAGGTAAAAGAAAGTGTACCCAAATTAGAAGAGAGGATGCCAGATTATAACTGTCTACAGGTGATACAATCACATATAGAGAGAATACCAAAGACTCTTCCAAAGATTTATTAAAACTAATAAATAAATTTGGCAGTTTTAGGATACCAACTCAATGTACAAAACTCAGTTATAACCAGTTGTGATGTCCCTGAAAAACAAATCAAGAAAGAAAACCTATTAACAATAGCTATCAATAGAAAAGAAAAGAAACCAGAGGGATAAATTTAATGATATAAAAGATCTCTACAATGAAAACAATAAAATTTTGATGAAAGACACCCTATATTCATGCTCATGGATTGGAATAATAAATATTGTTAAGTGTCAATAGTCCCTAATGCAATTTATGGATTCAGTAATTCCTACCAAAATTCCAATGATCTTTTTTACTAAAGAAAAGCCACTCTAAAGTCTGTATGGAACCACAAAAGAATCAAAATTGCTAAAATAGTCATTATAAAAAAATAAAAAAAGAGGCATCACACTGCCTGACTCCAAATGTATTACAAAGCTGTAGTAATTCAAATAGTAGGGTACTGGCATAAAAACAAATAGACCACAGGAACAGAATAACAATCCTAGAAGTAAACCCACACATCTATAGCCAACTGATCTTTGACAAAGATGCCAAGAAAATGCATTAGAAAAAAAGTACAGTCTTTTCAATAAGTGGTTCTGGGAAATTCTGGCTATCCATAAGAAGAATAAGACTACACCCCTATCTTTCACTGTATACTAAAGTCTATTCAAAAAGCATTAAAGACCTAAAAGTAAGACCTAAAACTTTGAAAGTATTAGAAAAAAGTATAGGGGACACTTCAGGATATTACAGTGAGCAAGGTTTTGTTTTCTTTTGTTTTGTCAGCTCCCCTCTACCAAAGCACAGGAAACAAAAACAAATGGGATTTCATCAAACTAAAGAGCTGCCCAGCAAAGGAAACAAGAGTGAAGAGGCAATCAAACGGAAGAAAATATTTGCAAGCCAAGTAACTGTTAAGAAATTAATATCCAGAATACATAAAGGAACTCAGTAGCAAAAAACTCCAAATAATCCAGTTAGATTGGCTACTATAGAAAAAAAAACAAAAGTAACAAGTGTTGGTGAGAATACAGAGAAAAGAGCACACCCTTGCACAATGTTGGTGGGAATGTAAATTAGAACAGCCATTGTATCGCTTCTTGGCCTTTTGGCTAAGATCAAGTGTAGAATAGCCATTGTAGGAAGCATGGAGTTTCCCCCCAAAAATAGAATTATCATATGATCCAGCAAATCCACTGCTGGGTCCAAGGGAAATCAGTCTACTGAAGAGATATTTGCATTTCCATGTATATTGCTCAACAACTCACAAGTAATGGAAACAACATGTCTACCCACTGATGAATGGATAAAGAAAATGTACATACACACAACAGAATACTGTTCTATTAAACTGGATGAAATCTTGTCATTTACATTATTAGTGTGGCTAGAAATAGAAGTTTAAGTGAAATAAGCTAAGCACAGAAAGACAAGTACCCATGTATTCTAACTCATATGTGGAATCCTAAAATTTTAATCTCACAGAAGTTGAGTAAGTAATGGTGGTTACCAGAGGTGGGAAAGAGTCAGATAGAACATACTAAGGTACTGTTAGATAAGAATAAGAAGTTCTGGTGTTCTGTCACATTGTAGAATGACTATAGAAGATAATGTATAATACACTTCTATTTTAAAAAAAGTATTCTTATGTTCTCACTATAAATAAATATTAAATAGGGAGCAGGCTTTTAGCCTATCCCATGTCCCACAATGGAGTTCCACACTGGAATACCTTGATTCGATTCCCAGCTCCGGCTCCTGACTCCTGCTTGTTGCCAATACAGTGGCATGGAGGCAGCAATGAAGACTGAAGCAACTGGGTTTTTGTTATCACATGAGATACCTGGACTGCATTCCTGGTTCCAGGCTTCAGTCTCAGCCCAACAATAGCAACTGTAGGCATCTGAAGAGTGAACCAGTAAATGGGTGCTGTGTCTCTCTGCCTAATACATTTTTAAAATAAAATTTAAGAAATGTTAAATGCTTGAGGAGATGGACAGGTTTACCATGATATGGAACAAAACAGCACATGGTACCCATAAATATGTACAATTTTTATGTTGCACTTAAAAATTTTTAAATTATTTTTTTAAATTATAAAGGGAAATCAATGAAATCAGAAGAAGTAAGCCTCCAATAAGGCTGATCAGGAAAATAAAAAAGAAATTACCAATGCAACAATGAGCATGGGGAGAAAAAAATAATATAAATGTAAGATGAATATTCAAAGGACAATGAGGAAACAGTATAGAAAACTATGTAGGAGATTTCAAAAAACATATGAAATAGATTTCTTCAGAGACATCAACATCCAAAACACGTAATAAAATCTATATAGCCTCTACACAGAGATTATGTATCTATTAAAGAAACTGAATTTGAAGGTTATAATGTTTCTACAAGAAAACCTCAAGCATAGATGGCTTCACTTGAGAATGCGATCAGGCAGACATTCAAGGAAAAATTAATACCAGTTTTACAGAAACAAAGTTGAGCTTTTTTAGAACAACCTGCAAATTCATTAAATGCAAGATCGTTACAAGAAAACTATGCACTAAAGAGATTAAAAAGAAGACTACAGATTACATTACAGATGAAAACTATGTTCCCATGTGTGTATACATGCAAAAACTATTAAGTTGTGTTACATATATCCCAGTAATAAATAAAAAAGAGGAAACACCATTACAAAGTGGAGTTTATCCCAGGAATTTAAGGTTAACATTTGAATATTAATCTATATACTTAATAATTTAATAGATTAAACGGGGTACTTCAAAATGTTCATGGAAGGGATCAGCACTGTGGTGTAGTGGGTAAAGCCTCTGCCTGCAACGCCAGCTTCCCATATGGGTGCCGATTTGAGTCCTGGCTACTCCACCTCTGATCCAGCTCTCTGCTGTGGCCTGGGAAAGCAGTGGAAGATGGCCCAAGTCCTTGGGCTCCTGCACCCACCTGCATGGGAGACCCAAAGGAAGCTCCTGGCCCCTGGCTTCAGATTGGCATGGCTCTGGCCATTGTGGCCATCTGGGGAGCAAACCAGCGGAATGATGATCTTTCTCTCTCTCTGCCTCTGCAACTCTGCCTTTCAAATAAATAAATAAATCTTTAAAGAAATGTTCATGAAAATGAAATTAAAAGACAGTGTGCATTTTTTTCATGAACCTTTTGAAGACCTCTCATGTTATCCGAACAGTTAACAGAAAAAACATTTGTCCTAACATCTATTCCTGATAAATCAGATCTCTCAGGAAACTGTAGTCAGTTTTTCTATAACCTGTGAGATAAAAATGATTTTTTAAAATTTTTGAAGCATTTAATAAATTGAAAAATGAAAACCAATGAAGAATATTCAAGAGCTTTCAATTGTAGTCCAGAAAGACCAAAATAATTACAAGTTGCTTTGTACAGAATAAGTTTGCTTACCATTGGTCTGTGCAGAAAATCTTAAGGCTTCTAGAATAAAGTGAGTATGGCAGAGTTGCAAGATTCAGAGTCAATATTCAAAAGTAAATTCTTTTTTTATGCTAGCAGCAGTATGAAATTGGAATTTAAAAACTTGTAATATCAAAAAAAGAATAAGAGATAAGTTTGAGAAAATGTATAAGACCTGCATGCTGATAATCTATTTGCTCACCTGCTTAGAGAAACTGAAGAAAGCTTAAACAAATAGATGTTTTTTCTTCATTACTTGAAAGACAAAATATTGTTAAAATGTCAGTTTTGTCAAAATTGATCAATGGATTCAATGCAAATTCCAATCAAAACTCCCACAGGATTTTTGTGGAAACTGATGATTCTAAACTTTCTTTGGAAATGCAAGGGATCCACAAGAGCCAAGCAATTTACAAAAAGAAGAATGGAGTTGGAGGGCTCAAATTAATTTAAAGACTTATTATAAAGCTATATTCACAACAATACATTAGCAGCAGAAAGAAAGGCATATAGACCAATAGAAAAATATTCCAGAGCTGGCAACATTTTGTACAACTGGTTTTCACAAAGGCGTTAAGGCAAGTAAGTGGTGAAAGGATCATCTTTTCAACAAATACAAGTGTAAAAGAAAAAAAAAACACCTTGATCTTTATCTCAATGTCATATATACAGAAGCTTACCTAAACATCAATGCTACAAAGCTATGCAACTTCTATAAGAAAACCTAAGAACAAATCTCAGTGGTCCTAGATTTATCAAAGAATTCTTAAGTATGACATAAAAAGCATCGATTTTTAAAATGAAAACAACAAACTGGACTTCATCAAAAATCTAAACTTTTACTCTTCAAAATCTACAATTCCAAAATGTGAACAGTGAGCAAAAAATCTGTTCTGATAAGAGATATGTAGTTAGGATATACACAGAACTCTAACAACTTATTTATACGAGTTGTACAAGTTGTTACATAATAAGTCAAACAACCTAGTTTTTAAAAATTAACAAGAGACTAAAATTAAAGAAACCTAAAGTATGGTCTTTAGTTAATAACAGTGCATCTGTACTGACTCATTCATTATTTATAACAAATGCACCATACTGATGTATAGTTAATAGGAGGAACAAAGTTTGGAATTATAGGAATGATCTGTGCTAGCTTCACAATTTTACAGTAAATATAAAAATGTTTTAGTAATTCAAGTTCATTAATTTTTTTAAAATGAGTCAAAGATTTATACATATACTACATAAAAGAATTTATCAAAATGACAAATAGGTGGGTGGACCTTTAGCATAGTAGCTAAGGTGCCAGCAATTCCACATCAGAGTACCCGAGTTCAGTTCTCAGCTCAACCTCCAGACTCCTTCTTCCTCTATTGCAAGTGCTACAAGGCAGTGGAGATGGCTCAAGATTTTGGTTACTGCCATTCACATGGGAGACTTGGCTAGCATTCCTCATTCATGGCTTTTGCTCAGCCCTGACCATTGCAGGCATTTTGGGACTGAAACAGTGGATGGGAGTTCACTATATCTGTCTCTCACTGAACTACACATGTACAATTTGTGCATTTTATTTATTAATTCATTAAAATAATTACCTCATGGGGTGAGCATTTAGCCTAGTGGTTAATATACTAGCTAAAAACCCCCATGTCCCATACTGGTGTCAGCTTCCAGCCAATGTAGACCTTGGGAGGCAGCAGGTACTCAAGTAGATGAGTCCCTGACACCCATTTGGGAGACCTGGATTGAGTCCTGGGTTCCTGTTTCAGTACTTCCTGCCAGGCCTAGCCACTGCAGGTATTTGAAGTTAACTAGTACATAGGAGTGTGCATTCTCTCTCTGCCCCTTGAATAAAACAGAATTCTCTGTATGTCCCTCAGTGTGAACCTTTAGCTAAGTATTTTCAAAGAGTTGTTTACAAGATAATCTATTTGCTCACCTGCATCCATTGTCTTTCCCCTGGAACTTCACCTCTTCCCCATCACTCTCCTAAAACATTTTTTCAGTTCCCACAGAACTAGCCTCTCAGCAGTGTTGAACACTATTGACAACTTCTTGTGAAATACTGGAATTCTTCACGTCTCAGTTCTAGGCCCTTGCTTCTCTCCTCCCCTCACCGATTTTATTCTCTTGTCTTTACACAGACTTCTCCACTAAGTCTTGACACTTCCTCCTGGATTCCTTAGTATAATTTCAGATAGCATGTTCTAGAACAAGCCATAATTTCCTTCCTCAAGCCCATTACAGTATTTCTTATTCAGTGAATAGTAGTCTTTCTAATTCTGAAAACTAGAAGTCTAAAAATTCTTTGGACTTCCCTTTCCCACAACCCATATCCAGATCATAAATAAGCTCTAGTGATTTTCCCTCCTAATTGAATTTTTTGATACTTGGTTTCTTTCCATTTCTTTTTTAAAAAATGATTTATTTTTTATTATTTTTTATTTTTTTATTATTTTATTATTTTATTATTCACTTCCCAATCAGCCACCATAGCCAGAGCTGTGCCAATCCAAAGCCAGGAGCCAGAAGCCAGGAGCCAGGAGCCAGGAGCCAGGAGCTTCTTCCGGGTCTCCCATGCAGGTGCAGGGGCCCAAGGACTTGGGCCATCTTCTACTGCTTTCCCAGGCCACAGCAGAGAGCTGGATAGGAAGTGGAGCAGCCGGGTCTCAAACCAGTGTCCACATGGGATGCCGGCACTCTAGGCCAGGGCGTTAACCTGCTGCACTACAGTGCCGACCCCATCTTTCCATTTCTACCACTATGACTTCAGTCAACAACATCATCTCTCAATTACATTGCTACACGTACCCAATCTATTTGCATCATTCTGATCCCTTTACAAATGATTCTCTAAACTGCAAAGAGTATCTATTTAATGCATTTTAACTGTTCTTTGGATGAAATCCAAAATCCTTAACTATGGCCTAAAGGGCCTGGATAGTTTGACCTCTATCTCTATTTGAAGCCTTATTTTCCACTACAGGTCTGTTTTTATATACTATTCCTTCTATCGGTAGTAAGCCCCTTGGCATGTAACTCTTACATATGAAGATACTTTAAAAAAATTCATGGAAAAAGGAATTAAAAGGTAAATTTGTGTGTGAAATATTTTGAAATACATGAATTCAGATCTTAGTTTAGAATTACATTTTTAAAAAAGGCATACATTGGCCTGATTACCTGCTCAATATACCATGTCCCCTCCACAGCAGTTATCAGAGTTCCACCTTAGTTTTGCTTGATGGATTATCTAAATTAGATAACTACCCATAAAATCCTAGTTTTACTTGGTAGATTACCTGAACAATCCCGTCAGTTGCATAACTGTAAAAATCACATAAGGTAAAGATTTCTAAACACAAACATTTCTAAATAAATTAGTGAAGAATTAGAAAGTATTTGATCCCAAATGAAGTAACATGAACTTTGGTGTCATATTTAAGATGGATTTCAAGCAACCCTCTTAACCAAAGCCCAGTTTTTAACCAGAAATCCAGTTAAACCATCATTGCATCATTTCTTCTTCAGTGTGTTTCAGAGGTGATGACTATGTGCCAGGCCCTGAGGACATAACAGTAAATCTGACAGATAAGGTCCTGCACTCATATAACACATGCTTTAAGTAGACTCACTTTTCATTTTAAAAGTTGCTCTTGGGGCCGGTGCTGTGGAGTAGCAGTAGTAGCCACCTGCAGTGCCAGCATCCCATATGGGTGCTGGTTCAAGTCCCAGCTGCTCCACTTCCAATCTAGCTCTCTGCTATGGCCTGGGAAAGCAGCAAAAGATGGCCCAAGTCCTTGGGCCCATGCGCCCATGTGGGAGACCGGAAGAAGCTCCCGGCTCCTGGCTTCATATTGGCCCAGCTCTGACCACGGTGGCCATCTGGGGGAGTGAACCT